GGGCTCTGTCTCCTTCGCGGGCTCCGGCTTCCCCTCGGCCGCGCCCTCGGCCGCCTCGGGCTCGGCCTTCGGGGCTTCTTCCTTGGCCGCTGCCTGGTCTTTCTCGCCTTCCTTTTCTTCGGGCGGTTTGGTGGCCTCCGGGGCCGCCTTCTCCTGCTTCTCCCCCTTGGCCTCCTTCACTTCTGAGGTCTCGGTGGCCGCCTGGGTCTCGTTCTCCTTGGGGGTTCCCTCCTCTTCCGTCCCCGCGCCTTCGGCCTTCTTGTCTTTGTCCTTGGCCTTCTCGTCATTCACATTGTACCCCTTCTTCTTCTTGCTCAGCTTGCCTCCCATCTTGGAGTTCTGTAAGGGCGCAAAACAAGACAAAACACAAAGAGTGACTTGTTGTTCCAGACTGAAGGTGTGTGTGAATATGAATTCATTCCCGTTTCAGGTAATCCCAACCGGTTGTTGGGGGGGGGGAGGCTTTCTGGGGGAGAATCAGGACAGGAAGGGGAGACTTCGGAAATGGTTTAGTGCCCGTATGAAAGGGGCCCCAAGAAGTCTGCAAGGCACTCTCCCAGGATGGAAGAAGCCAGCTTTCTACTTGGCAAAAATGATGCTCAGCAGACAGGGAATTGTGAGAAATTTCTGTTGCTTTTAAACCACTCAGTCTGTGGTAATTTGTTACGGCGTCTCCAATGGTGGACGACACTTGCTAAAGTTTTCCATTTACAAAGTAAAGATTTCAGTGGTTAACATGGTAAATTTATACATCTATCTTGCCACACACACACACACACACACAAAGTGAATCATTACAAGAATGTAAAGAGCTCTACTACAGAAGGTCTAATTACAAATTCAGGAAATAAAGTGAGATCAGATAGCCAAGGACTACAGAATAACTTATTAAGCTTACAGGGGTGGAGTAGTTTATCTTTGTTATCTGCCTTTCAAGGTGCAACTCGAAACACCAAGTATCGAACAATTGTGGACAAAATGGCAGTGGCAGCCATTTTAGATCTATAGTACAACTAGTTAAAACATTCATAATTTTTAAATGTTTTCCTGAGCTGTAGCTGAGCACAAACCATGCATTTTACAAGGAAAAAAAAATCTCCAACTCCTTTCAGCCTCTGTTATTTCACCTGTGAGCCCTCCTGATCATTGGTTAGGGTCTGCCCCTGACAGAATGGAAAGCACTCCTTGATCATGCTTTTTAAAACGTCATCCATTCACAACAGAAACTGGTGTTCACTACAGGACATTAAAAAAAAAATATCAAAATAAGAAA